ATGTAATGAACATTTGAATGACGTATAGGGCCAGTCCCCAGGGGTTCCTCCCCACCCCCAATGTTCTAGTATCTTGTAAATGGTCGAGATCCCCACCCCTAAACCATATATATTCTGGTTTGTCATGCCAAGATGATTTGAATGATATACAAGGTTAGTCCCCAGGCATCACTAGTGCATATAACTTTACTGGACCAAACCAATTTTCACTGGACGTTGCCCAATGTCAGGCGACCCTGGGAATTACGAATTATGGGAGCTTCGTTTGGGAGACTTCGTAACAGCATCCTGTTACAATCATATCTTGTTATTATTATTATTCTTCTTCTTCTTCCTCTTCCTCTTCCGCAGCTTTTAAATTTGAACTTGTCCGCACCCATTCTCCAAAACCGCTTGTCAGATAAACTTAGGGTTTCACAATATGTTAGACTAACATGTCTAGTGGTGCAATCAGGGTTTTGTTTGTGCAATGGGGTTCAAAAGGGGTACTTTGAGGGGCAAAAAGAAAAGAGGGTTTTACTATAGAACCCTATGGGATTTTATTTTTTAAAATTTTCAAATGATTATAAATTGAAAACCGTTTGTGATAGACACAATCTTTTTAATTGAAAATGTTCTAAATGATAAAACCCATTAAATGAAATACAGGGTTAGTCCCAAAGGGTCATCCCCACCCCCTGCCATTTAAGAAAGTTCTAATACCTTGTAAGTGGTCAAGATCCCCACCCCTAAACCATATATATTCTGGTTTGTCATGCTAAGATGGTTTGAATGATATACAGGGTTAGTCCCTAGGTGTCATCCCGACCCCCTGTCATTTGAGAAAGTTCTAATATCTTGTAAATGGTCGAGATCCCCACCCCTAAACCATATATATTCTGGTTTGTCATGCTAAGATGGCTTGAATGATATACAGGGTTAGTCCCCCAGGGGTCATCCCGACCCCCTGCCATTTGAGAAAGTTCTAATATCTTGTAAATGGTCGAGATCCCCACCCCTAAACCATATATATTCTGGTTTGTCATGATAAAGCACATGAAATGAAATACAGGGTTAGTCCCCAGGGGTCGGCCCCACCCTATGCCATTTAAGAAAGTTCTAATATCTTGTAAGTGGTCAAGATCCCCACCCTAAACCATATATATTATGGTTTGTCATGCTAAGATGGTTTGAATAATATACAGGGTTAGTCCCCAGGGGTCATCCTGACCCCCTGCCATTTGAGAAAGTTCTAATATCTTGTAAATGGTCGAGATCCCCACCCCTAAACCATATATATTCTGATTTGTCATGATAAAGCAAATCAAATGAAATACAGGGTTAGTCCCCAGGGGTCGGCCCCACCCTATGCCATTTAAGAAAGTTCTAATATCTTGTAAGTGGTCAAGATCCCCACCCCTAAACCATATATATTCTGGTTTGTCATGCTAAGATGGTTTGAATGATATACAGGGTTAGTCCCCAGGAGTCATCCCGACCCCCTGCCATTTGAGAAAGTTCTAATATCTTGTAAATGGTCAAGATCCCCACCCCTAAACCATCTATATTCTGGTTTGTCATGATAAAGCACATGAAATGAAATACAGGGTTAGTCCCCAGGGGTCACCCCCACCCCATGCCATTTAAGAAAGTTCTAATATCTTGTAAGTGGTCAAGATCCCCACCCCTAAACCATATATATTCTGGTTTGTCATGCTAAGTTTATTTGAATGATATACAGGGTAAGTCCCCAGGGGTCATCCCGACCCCCTGCCATTTGAGAAAGTTCTAATATCTTGTAAATGGTCGAGATCCCCACCCCTAAACCATTTATATTCTGGTTTGTCATGCCAAGATGATTTGAATGATGTACAGGGTTAGTCCCCAGGCATCACTAATGCATATAACTTTACTGGACCAAACCAATTTTCACTGGACTTTGCCCAATGTCAGGCGACCCTGGGAATTACGAATTATGGGAGCTTCGTTTGGGAGACTTCGTAACAGCATCCTGTTACAATCATTTCTTGTTGAATATATCGGTAATGGGATATTTTTTGCTGACATTTTATTTATCTGATTTGCCGGAGTCTACTGTACTTGCTCCTTATCTTGTTAGCGATCATGTGTTCTATTTTTATACGACCGCAAAAATTAAAAATTTTTTGGTCGTATATTGGTATGACGTTGGCGTCGTCGTCGTCGTCGTCGTCCGGCGTCGTCCGAAGACACATTGGTTTTCGCACTCTAACTTTAGTTTAAGTGAATGGATCTCCATGAAATTTCACCATAAGGTTCAATACCACGAAAGGAAGGTTGGGATTGATTTTGGGGGTTATGGTACCAACAGTTAAGGAATTAGGGGCCAAAAAGGGGCCAAAAATAAGCATTTTTGTAACTTTCAGACAATAACTTGTGTGTAAGTGTATGGATCTCTCTGACATTGTACCACAAGGTTCCATATCACAAAGGGAAGGCTGTAATTGATTTTGGGGGTAATTGCCTCAAAATTTTAGGAATTAGGGGCCAAAAAAGGGGCAAAAAACAAGCATTTTTCTAGTTTCATGACAATAACTTGTGTGTAAGCGTTTGGATATTTCTGAAATTGTACTACAAGGTTCCATATCACAAAGGGAAAGCTGGAATTGAGTTTGGGGGTAATTGCCCAAAACGTTTAGGAATTGGGGGCCAAAAAGGGGCCAAAAATAAGCATTTTTCTAGTTTCCAGACAATAACTTGTGTTCAAGTGTATGGATCTCTCTGAAATTGTACTGCAAGGTACCATACCACAAAGGGAAGGCTGGGATTGAGTTTGGGGGTGATGAATCATAAGGGGGTTCAAAAAATTGGGGGGGGGGGATTTTTTTTTTTTTTTTTTTCTTCTTTTTATTCCTTTTTTTTTTCTTTTAAAATTTTCCATTTTAAGTTGGTTATTTCTGATTTATATTTAAAAGCAAATAATAATGATATGGTAGGAGATACACACCAAACAGGATGTGTAAATTATTATATAAAAAGTATTGTGCAATAGCAAGAAATTTTCAATTGCACAGTATTGCACAATAGCAAGAAATCTTCAATTGCACAGTATTGCGCAATAGCAAGAAATCTTCAATTTAACAGTATTGCGCAATAGCAAGAAATATCCAATAGCACAATATTGCGCAATAGCAAGAAATTGTCAATTGTACAGTATTGCGCAATAGCAAGAAATATTCAATTGCACAGTATTGTGCAAAAGAAGATACTTCGTATAAATTGCTTATTTCTTGATCAATTTCAATGGGGTTTTATTCTTGAATTCTTGGGGTTCTTTAATATGCTGAATCTAACCGTGTATTAAGTTTTTGGATTTTGGGCCCCGTTTTTAAATTGGTCCACATTGAGGTCCAAAGGGTCCAAAATTTAACTTTGTTTGATTTCTTCAAAAATTGAATTATTGGGGTTCTTTGATATGCCGAATCTAACCGTGTATTTAGATTTTTAATTTTGGGTCCCGTTTTTTAAATTGGTCTACATTAAGGTCCAAAGGGTCCAAAATTAAACTTAGTTTGATTTTAACAAAAATTGAATTCTTAGGGTTCTTTGATATGCTGAATCTAAACATGTGTTTAGATTTTTGATTATGGGCCCAGTTTTCAAGTTGGTCCAAGTTGGGGTCCAAAATTAAACTTTGTTTGATTTCAACAAAAATTGAATATATGGGGTTCTTTGATATGCTGAATCTAAACATGTATTTAGATTTTAGATTTTTGGCCCAGTTTTCAAGTTGGTCCAAATTGGGGTCCAAAATTAAACTTTGTTTGATTTCAACAAAAAATGAATATATAGGGTTCTTTGATATGCTGAATCTTACCATGTATTTAGATTTTTTATTTGTGGGCCCGCTATCAAATTGGTTCATATTGAGGTCAAAAGGGTCCACAATTAAACTTTGTTTGATTTCATCAAAAATTGAATTATTGGGGTTCTTTGATATGCCAAATCTAACCGTGTATTTAGATTTTTAATTTTGGGTCCTGTTTTTTAAATTGGTCTACATTAAGGTCCAAAGGGTCCAAAATTAAACTTAGTTTGATTTTAACAAAAATTGAATTTTTGGGGTTCTTTGATATGCTGAATCTAAACATGTGTTTAGATTTTTGATTATGGGACCAGTTTTCAAGTTGGTCCAAGTTGGGGTCCAAAATTAAACTTTGTTTGATTTCAACAAAAATTGAATATATGGGGTTCTTTGATATGCTGAATCTAAACATGTATTTAGATTTTAGATTTTTGGCCCAGTTTTCAAGTTGGTCCAAATTGGGGTCCAAAATTAAACTTTGTTTAATTTCAACAAAAATTGAATATATGGGGTTCTTTGATATGCTGAATCTTACCATGTATTTAGATTTTTTATTTGTGGGCCAGCTATCAAATTGGTTCATATTGAGGTCAAAAGGGTCCAAAATTAAACTTTGTTTGATTTCATCAAAAATTGAATTATTGGGGTTCTTTGATATGCCAAATCTAACCGTGTTTTTAGATTTTTAATTTTGGGTCCCGTTTTTTAAATTTGTCTACATTAAGGTCCAAAGGGTCCAAAATTAAACTTAGTTTGATTTTAACAAAAATTGAATTCTTCGGGTACTTTGATATGCTGAATCTAAACATGTGTTTAGATTTTTGATTATGGGACCAGTTTTCAAGTTTGTCCAAGTTGGGGCCTAAAATTAAACTTTGTTTGATTTCAACAAAAATTGAATATATGGGGTTCTTTGATATGCTGAATCTAACCATGTATTTTGATTTTGGACATTGGACCATAATAGGTAAATTAAAAAAATTGAAGTTCTTAGACCACATTCTTTCTGTGTCAGAAACCTATGCTGTGTCAAATATTTAATCACAATCCAAATTCAGAGCTGTATCAAGCTTGAATGTTGTGTCCATACTTGCCCCAAATGTTCAGGGTTCGACCTCTGCGGTCGTATCAAGCTGCGCCCAGCGAGCATTTTATTGTATATGTGTTTTTATTTCAGTTATTTGACAATGGGGATAAAGGTTACATTACACAAGCAGAGCTGACAGGAATATTGACAAATGCATTTGGGATTGATGATTTGGATGTTGAAAAATTGTTTCAAGAAGTTGATATTAACAAAGATGATAAAATAACCTTTGGTAAGATTTTGATTTTTTTTTAAGTCAGTATCATTTATTAGATGAGTATTAGATAGAAAACCACATGCACTTGTCTCTGAAAAAAAATTACCTATATACTTTTAATATAACACAAGGTACCTCACTCACATATTTGAGAAGTGTCACCCAGTTGCTAACTTCCGTTATGTTTCGATTCTGTGGTTGTCTATCCCACTGAAACTTGTACATCTACATTAAATTATCTACAAAATGGTGTATAACATGCCTATTTCCATTGTTGGAATCATTTGTAACAGGCCTTCGAAGTGTGTCAAAGTAATTATTTCGTCTTCTCACAGCGGATTGGAAATAATAGTCTTGCAGTGATTGATTTGTTATAAAAAGTATTTCCCAAAAACCTGTTAGTATTTCTCTGAATAGAACTTATCATTCAGAAAGTAAATTTGTAAAAAGATACTGTGAAAAAAAATCTAATAAGTGTTATTTCAGGTATGTCTAATGAGTTACGAGTTTCTATTATTAAAGTCAATTTTTCCCATTCCATCAATGTCATTCAGACTCTCTCTGGACTTTATATATAAAATTGTGAAAATTAAAAAAAAACATTTATTTTTAGCAATAAGATATGTATAAGAGAGGGGAAAGATACCAAAGGGAAAATAAGCAACTTGACGGGTGCCACATGTGGAGCAGGATCTGCTTACCCTTCCGTAGCACCTGAGATCACCCCCAGTTTTTGGTGGGGTTTGTGTTGCTTAGTCTTTAGTTTTCTATGTTGTGTCATCTGTACTATTATTTGTCTATTTGTCTTTTTATTTTTGGCCATGGTGTTGTCAGTTTGTTTTCGATCTATGAGTTTGACTGTCCCTCTTTTATCTTTCGTCCCTCTTTTATGATTAATCATTCATTGCGAGACTATTATTTCCAATCGGCTGTAAGAAGACGAAATAATTACGGTTGACATACTTCAACGGCCTGTTATGAATGATTCCGACAATAGAAATAGGCGTGTTATACACCATTTTGTATATAATTTAATGTAGATTTATGACATTAAAAGTTTCAGTGGGATAGACAACTACAGAATTGAAATATAACGGAAGTTCGCAACCGGGTGACATTTCTGAAATATGTGAGTTAGTTACCTTGTCTTATATTAAAGTAAATAGGTAATTTTTTTTCAGAGACAAGTGCCTGTGGAGAAAACGGACATAAAGTGGTCTCTTAGCACAATAGCTCCAATGGAACTTCCGTTAGTTAAGCCATATTAATTATATGTATCAGCAAAAAAAATTATCACAAACTAATAGTAGGTAATGCCAAAACACATAATTAACAGCGCCTAGTGATGATTCATAGTCTGACTGGATTCAGTCCTTCACAGACCTAGAGGTAGAGCAATGGATTTATAGTGGCACACTATTTATATAGTGTCTGAAAGTAATCAGTTACTGGATAATTGTTCGTACAGGAAAATACCTGGTGGAATTTTGATCAGTTACATACTTCAGTAAACATTAAACCCGATGATATGGGTAATGGTAAACATCTATATAAAAATAAGGAGATGTGGTATGATTGCAAATAAGAGAGCTATCCACCAAATTTCAAATGAAGTGGATGTAAGCAATTATAGGCAACTGTATGGCCTTCAACAATGAGAAAAACCCATACTGTATAGTCATCTATAAAAGGCCCTGACATGAAAAATATGAAACAATTCAATTGAGAAAACTAACGGCCTAATTTAGGCTTCTATTGTGACTTTATTCAAATTATTGTACATGGTAGTCATGCAAGTCTTGATGTTTTGGCTTATAATTTGCCAAAATATCAAGTCTTTTAAAGAAAAGGATGATTCTAGCCTGAAAAAAATTAATCGATATTGTTGACCACCTCCATAGTTGTGTTATAAATAAGGTTGGAATTTTTTCTGCAAGGCCAATGTTGATACTCTGTATGTTAAGATGAACACAAGAGAATGGGTTATTATTTTGAGGTCTCTGCTCACAATGCCTCTAGATACAGATGGGCTGTCCAAATTTTATCTCAAAGGGATTCCTTTAGTGGTATTGCTTTTTGAAGACTCAAAAGGTTTTCATATAATATGTGTCCTCCTGAACATGCATGAAATATTTGCTGCTGGACATTAAGCAGACAGCAATCAATCAATTATATTAAATGTGAATTATAAGTTACATACTTGTATTTAAAGGAACTCCGTGAGTCTTAACACTTACCATGCTGAATTGTTTTCAGAAAAAGTCTAATTTTCGTTTATTTGCAAAAATATGCAAATTATATGCAAGTGAGCTTTACCCTGCTGCTGAAGCATATTGATTTCTTTAAATCTAAGGTAGGGGATCACGGGGCGGGGTGGTTGGGCTGAGGAGGTGGGGGTCGGTCGGCGGGAATTTGCCCCAAAGTTGGTCATCAGGTGCAAAAAGCGTCATTTTTGACAATTTTTCGTCCTATTACTTGACCCCAAAGACCGAGGGATGCTGATATAGGTATCCATCTGTAGTCTGCATGTACAGTGGACCCCAGTAAACACATTAACCCCAACAGTTCTTAGGTTGGAGTGAAACTGATCTGGGAACACCAGTCTAAAGAAGGTCATTTGGACAAAAAATATGGAATTTCACGATTTTTTCCGATTTTGGACTTCAACTGGACCTGAAACCGGAAGTAGTCGTTTCCTCTGCGTATTTCAAAAATAATTATGATCAGTAGATATATGTCTGCGGGTTTACACTATTTTTGAAAGTTTTAGACCTCTGAACTTCCTGTGTCAGACACAGAAGGGAAGCCCACCCCTCCAGAAAAACCAGTTTTATCCAATTTCAATTTTCCAAGTTCGTATTTGAGCTCAAAATGCTACTTAAACATGAGAAACATGACAATAGATAGCCTCAGGTTGAGGGAACATTCATCCATTTCGAAATAAGTATCATAAAGTTGACCTCTAAAAGTATGGAGAGCCATTAGAGCCAAATAACGGTGGTCTGGGTCATCCCGTCATATGACGGGCTCAGCATGGTAAGGGTTAACAAATGATTTCTGTTTCAAAGGTTTCAATGCGTTGTGGCTATACTGTAAAGTTCATAAAGCTTAGCACTGATGGACTGGCCATGGATTGTCTGCTTGTAATCTCTAAATCACTATTTTTATCTAAACATCTGTAATCTACTTTTAAAAATAGTGCACATAATATCAACAAGAAAATTATGTAATGTTGAGTATTTTTTTTTTTTTCAGATGAATTCAGAAAGTATGCTGAAACCAAACCAGAATATGCTAAATTATTTATGACTTATCAAGAACTAAAGAAGGTCTTAAGTACAAATGGTAATGGAATTAGTAAACTTGAGTGATCACCCTTTAAGTAGAAATGGTAATGGAATTAGTAAACTAGAGTGATCTCCCTTCATAAAGGTTGAAGTGACTGGCTCAGTGACTTAATATGAGATCTACAAAAATACAATACAATTTTGCTATATATATATGATGATATTGAGAAGGCACACAACATGTGTTCATGGTTTATAACATTTTACAGGAAAGATTTCAGCCTAATATTGATATTTGTCCATTCCAGATTTTAGATATGCTATTAAAACTTATAGAAGGGAACATGTAAGATATGCTTTATGTTCATTGTTTTTCTGCATTTTATGAACTTGACTTTAAAACATTATGAAAACTTAATAGAACTTGTTAAAAAAAGTGTTTAAGTTGTGTATAAATTACGTACAAGAGATTTTTCCATGAACAAGAACTTAAAAACAGATTAAAGATAATTTTCTATGAACATACTCCCTTAATGTTTACCTTTATTTAATCATAAATTAAAAAATGTATTGGATATTTTTTTGTGGTTAGGTATATACCTGGTTTCTGTCTGAAAATAAAATTAGGACTCTTAATATCAATTTGTTTTTGTTTGAAATTTTTTAAAACATCAACACAACATAATATAAATATTTTGCATGTGTTTTTGCTTGCAGTGCTCATTATTTTTATAAGGCTAGTAACATCAACATTGTGGTTTTTTTTTTCATTACAGAAAGCTCAGATAGCCATTTGAGTTAGTTAAACACAGATATGGTAATACATGCACTGCTTTTTGTCTTTCAGTTAATACTTTACACATGTTTTATGTTTTTATTTTGAATGTTTTTGATATTGTTCTGTTTTCATTTTTTTATTGTACCAAAACATGCTGACTTTCCTTTAATATTTACCTGAAACAGTTGTTTGAAGATTTCCACAGAAAATCTAGTATAAAAGAGAATTACATATTCTAACATCAAAGTACAGGACACTTTCTAAGGACAAGAACTGTAAATGAGGATATTTTGCTGTTTGTTATTTTCACGATTTCAATGCCTAAATATTCTGCAGGGGTTAAATTCGTGCATCAATAATAAGTGTTAGCTTCCTGTCAATATTATAGCTTAGTGAGGGCATTCTATGTGATAGCGAAATAAGGGAAAATAAACCCCACACAATAATTTTAACGTCTTCAGTTCCTATGTTATTTATCATTTATGGGCAAAAGCTTACTTGAAGATGCTAGTGTTGAGCAAAATTTTAGAAATACATGCTTCCAGTCTAACTGGAGCTGTGTCTGAACGTTTCTAGGCTAAGTTCCAAAAACTATTGTTGAAGTTATGATTTCAACATGGATAAGACCAGATTCTAACATCTTAAGAAAAACTTACCAAAATACCAACCATAGCTTTTATCATCCTAAGGATACTAAGGTCTTTGGAAACCACAGGGTACTTTTTGCCCAATGAAAAGATAAATGAATTGTATTTTGTTTTTGGTACATAATGTTTTTAATATGATATATTTATGCCAGAATACTAAACATGTATTATTTTGAAATTGTCTTCACCTACCTTTCAGTGTAACATCCTAGCCTTGTCAGACAATTTTATATTGTAAATTTGAGGCCTGTATTATTTGTTATTGTTTTAGGGTTGTACTGTGAAATGACTTTTATTGCTGGATTCAAATTTTCATTTTTGGTATACAAAATATTAAAGTGGTAGGCTTTAGAATTTGTATATTGTCTTGATTTTAATAATAACTATAATTACACAGGTTCAGACTGCACATATTAACATATCAATGGAATGTAGGTGTTTTTAAAGTTTTTAAAATTCTTAGTTTTGATTACTGTAAAATCCACCATATGTGTAACACAAATAAAAGAATATTCACAGTATAATTTTTCTTTGACATGAATTGAATCTTTGGAGTTTTACAAAAAATAGTTTTAAGTTTTATTCATATTTATTCAAAGCAGGACTACAATAACTTGTTATCTGTTTGAATCACACTTTTATAAGACATACATTTCATATAAAAAATATAATAACAAGCATGCAATTGATGTAGGCAGGAGGCTATTTGAAATGAAAATCAATAATTAAAAAAAAATTGAGCTTTACATTTGGCTCTATTCAAATCCGAGTTTAATCTCAGCAGTGTCAGTATTAATCATGTGCCTATTTTTGTATGATCTCATTAACTCTTTTATTATTTCTACACTCCCTGATCCATTTGTGTCATGTTCCGAGAGAAAAAAATTGAAAGAAGAATGCAAAGAAAAAATGATCATTCATTCATAAAATAATAAGCTTCTTTAAGACATTTAAAACCATTGCATTTATAACATTTCAACAGTTTCATATAAGCTAGTGCTTCCAGTGAAGTCTTAGTTTAAAATCTGTTATTTATATTAAGAAATATTTTTGAATCTTTTGCATGTCTTCCTATATTTTTCTATTTCATTTGTATAAATTTAAACACAAATCTCCTAGAAAGGATTTTAATTTAAGCAATAATTCACAATCAAACTGAGTAATTATTTTAAGTCTGTTTCACATAATAGATTCATATTAAGTTATTATATAATGACTTTTCTTATGTGGAACATTTGGACAGTATTTGTTCATTGTAACACAGAATGCATTACTCTTTCTATGTTCAGATCTCAAAAAAGGGTCATACAAGACGAATATATTGATTTATGATAGCATTGTATATTACCAAATTCATGAAGTAAATTAGGAGATAACTGTATTGTAAACTTTGCATCCATTAATTGTGGATTTTATGTTTGCAAATGGAGTGAGATTGACATGGTCATACTTTTGATGAATGATTGTGCTATATGTAAATAAATATTTCTTTTACCTTTGATTGTCATAAACTAATCTATAGACAACAGTAAATGCATTTGTATAGTACTGTATAGATTATTGCTTTTCTAGTCCCATCTAGGTAACAGACTGCTATCAAGAGTTGTTTAACTTTTGTTTTCTTCTTATAAATGCTAACCAAATATCATATCTCATTCTAATAATAATAAAAAAAACTGTTTTCAAATTGTGATTACTGTGTAATATTATCTGTTTTGAATCTCAGCTGTCATCAGTTTTCATACATTGCTCATAGCATAACTTTTTTACCAGGATATAAGTTTAGCTTATTCATTTCAAATATCTATTTTAATTAAAAATCCATATCGATGTAATTCATCATTATCACAATTAAACTTTGATACAGAAAAGATATTATTATAGAAAGGGAAACAAATTTGCTGCAATGTCAGGGTATGTAAAATAGAGGCTTATCTGATAGGCCGATTTGGAACGGTATTATTAGAGTCTTTCAAAATGATTGTTCCTTGTGTTCGATGCCAAAAAAACATGTCTGCATAAATTTGGTTGTGAAGATTAAAAAAGTGGGTTTATATCTTCAGGTGTAATACCACCATTGATTTTCCCCTATTAGTCTTTGTTAAATTTGCACTTTTCAAAAAATTGTGCAGAATTTATCTTTGTTTCAAATAAAGAAATACTTGGCATGAGTAAAGTTTTATCCTGTTCAGTACTATAGAAAGAATTTCACATAACATTTCATTGCATATAAGAAAATAACCATCACTGGAAGTTAACCAATCAAATTTTCCCCCTTTTTTAACCTGTGTACAAGCTTTAGTAACCATGTAACCTCAAGTTTCCAAAATATTCTATAGAAACCCCAAATAAAAAAATAATGGTGCTTTGAAATACCCAAGATATATGTTTATGACCCAGAAATGTTTTACTGCAATGAAATGTAGGATCAATTACCTACAACTGTCAAATTCAAGGGAATATTTTTTTCGACCTATTTTCGTATGCAACCGGATGTGACGTACTATGATTTGGTGGTATTACACCTTCACTTTACCTTATGTGTAACAAATATGAAACATGAGTCTGGAAAGTGGATATTAATGTCTTTACAAGTGAATATGCTTTTTCTGAAACAAAATAGCAAATTAAACTTTAATTGCAGCAAATCAGTAGTACATTCATTTTGTGTTCTTTACAAAAAACACATTATATATCTGTTTACATAATAAAATGATCTAAAAGTATCCTTTTTCATATGACAGGGATGGAAAATTACAAATAAATGACATATTGTGAATTTGATTAAACATTAATGATTTTATGGTTACAATTAAATAGAGATTGCTTACTCCATTTACATAACTACATTTGAAATGATTTTGGATTTTGATTGGAAAAGTGATGCATGGATCTGTTTTATTCTCTACATTATAACCATTAATTTCTAAATGTATACCTGGTAGTCTACAAATGCTGTTGACATCCTTCAGAAGTTGAATAAATGAAGAGAAATATTTATAAATGTTTAATAACCATGATTTCCTTTTTTAAAGTTAACATTTGATAAATATTGATATTCTATCTCTTCATGTTTGTGCATATTGCAGTCAAAGGTCACTGGTAGTATTTAGAGTAGGGTCAAGACATTTACTAAGGACTAATTAATGTACAGAAAAAAAATAAAATCCACATCAAAGGTTTTACTGAATTAGAGGTTTTAGTCATGACAACAATAGAGGTAGTTATTTGTCAGTGCAATACAATTATTATACAGGTAATGGGTCGGTGTTCGTTTCATATTTTTTGACAATACTAAATAATATTTCAACATGTGCTCAAACTGCTGGCAGGGGTTTTAATGGATAATGTTAGTCAAATACACTTTATTTTTGTATAAAATGTAAGATTGTAATGTATATATTATTAATTTATTGCTGTTTTACTAATGTTGTTAACAAAATTTTATTTCACAAAGAATTCTCAGATTTTGATATTCCAATACAATTAAATGATCTGTGATAATTTTTTCAGTAAGATTGTTGGCACCTACAGTTTCACTATATTTCTAGTCGGTAAGATTAAAGTCATCTGAAGTTTTGATGACTCTGTCTTAGCTTGGTTTACTGTTTAGGAATACCTGTGTCACATTTTTTTTTACAAGTATGTCAATTGAGATAATTGTTTGCCTCAAAACTTTAAGTCACAAATTAATTTTTAATCTGCATATTACTCTTTGTTTATGATATGTTTACATTGTTATATATTGAATATTCATTAACATCCATATTAAAATTATGTCCCTACACATAACTGCCAACAACTGCCTTGAAACTGCACAAAAATTATTATGCAGAGGAATTTTTGTGATACAAGCTTTGATTCTATGAAATATATTATAAATTTGCTCCCAAGTTAAATTAGCAATACCATAAAATAAACTTCAGCAAGCTAATGTTATTATATATTTTTTATGTTAGTAGTCAGACAAAGAAGGGTAATAGTAAGACGTAATGATATGTTGTAGCTAACAAAACTCAATTAATTGGTGGAATAAGATAAAGTTTGTTCTTGTGCAAGATACTGTTGGAATTCTGATTTCCAAAAGGAAGATGTATAACAAGAGCAATTATCTGGCCCCTGAAATTGAAAAAAAATAATCAAATTATTCAAACCTTTAAAAATTATGTCTAATTTTATTGATAGATAAATAGAACAATATTATCTGGACACTTAAGAGTAGAAAAATCGTCATGTCACTTTGATGCCATAAGCATGTTGAAATTGGTATATTACCCATAGTTTCTGGCATTATTAAATATTAACCTTAGTCTTAACAAACAAGATATGTTACCTGCATTAAAAGTTTCATATAAGACATCTTTTAACAAAATATATTTGAGATAAGGCTGTGACTCATATCTATATATCATTGACAAGATCTCAATATGAGGCTTATCTGGCATCATAGTCAAGAGGTTTGAAACCAAAAAAGGATATGGAAACAAAATTCAACATTATAAATACTGCTATCTGACAGACTAATGTCTTATGAAGATATAAATGATGTAATATGATAGCTTGGTAATACTTGAATGGATAAAAATAAACAGGAGAGAGATCATTTGTAATCATTGGCTAGCACATGTATTAGGGTGATAATGCCTTTACTGCAAGGCATCAAATGACCCCTTATTCATTGCCAGCATCAAATTATTTTTTCTTACAATTTATTTATAATCAAAAACTAAGTTAAGTGTCATACATATTTTGCTATTTGAATTTTTGTTTCCATTTAAATTTCTGAAGCTGTATGAGATCAAATGAATAGACTTGAATAAACTTAAATCTATAAATGACTATAGAATGTTTTTGCTTAGATGTCAACTGTGGAATATGGTAGTTGTTAGTTTGTTAAAGATAGGGACAGCTGCAATATTAATTTATCTTCTTGTTGTACTTAATTCTTTGAACTGAGAGAGTAAATTTTCAGTTTGAATGATATTTGTTTTTTTAATATTCCTTTTTGTTGAAGAGGATTAATCTATTCTGTATTATTTTTTTTATACAATAGATTTCTTTTTGTATATTAAACAGCTGGATTTTTAATAATGAAAAAAATTGAAGCCAGTTATTTGTCTTGAAAATTCAGACAAAAATTAACAGAATGGAGACTTGTTCGTTTTTTATTCATATGATGGCTTCAAATAATAGTTGCCATTTTTCATTGCATTTTTTTTTCAAGTTATCATTATTTGAGCATTAAAATAAAATATTTCCTCTTGTTTATTGTTTTTCTTGTCTTCCCAGTTAAGTTGATGATATATATGATGACCTATTTGAACCACTTATAGTGGTGGCTTTCTCATCTTAGTTTTGTTAGGAGTTTTGTTAGGGAGGTTATAATTTCAGTACCTTGTCAAATCAATTTAAAACAAAGGCAAATAAATATAAGGTTTTAGTCTCTTACAAAGCCAATCGGATTGAAACACATTTTCTGTGTTCACACTTTGCTTTCAGGGACCTGAAAACACTGTTCTACTTTCTGTTCTGGTAACTTTTACATCAGCCAATGAAATTTCTGCCTTCAAATTTTTTAAAGTATGTATCATTATGACAATACCAGAGGATCCCAAAATGTCTTTAAAACAGAAAGTAGAATTGTATGTTTCAGATTCTTGTAAAAAAAATGAAAACAACATGTTATAAATTTCATGCGTCTGAAACGCTTTTCTGGATTTACCTTCATTAGGAACGCTCAAAGACGAATATTTGAAAGCCAAGGATATATAAGAACCTAAACAGTTGAAGAGCTATATAACCAAAAAGTACCTAAAAAAAATAGCCAAATCCATCTAAGGTCAACTTTGCCTGAGGGAGTTGAAACCTTAGTTTCTAACAATTTCAAAATTTATTAAAGTACAATTATAGAACGTTTTGTTATAAATCATGTCAGTACCAAAGTACTGACTACTGAGGTGATGATACCCTCGGGGACTGATAGTCCACCAGCAGAGGTATCGACCCAGTGCTGTGAAAAAATGAAAACAACAAATTATAAATGTCATGCGTCTGAAGCGCTTTTCTGGATTTACCTTCGTCAGGAACGCTCAAAGCCGAATATTTGAAAGCCAAGGATATATAAGTAAGTGAACCTTGAACACAGGATCTATATTTCAATCATATTGTTACAAAGCAGGACTCGTAGTTTTATCTCTTCACCAAATCCCATTTTTCACACTCCCAAATGATTTTTTTTTCATTTGGCTTCTGTGCATTGAAAATATAATGGGTCTCGTACTATTATATTTGACATGTCCTCATCCTGAATACCAAGATAATCTGCTGGACATTTATTATCTGTTCATCTGATTGAACGTTTGACTGTTTATATATCAGATTATGGTACATAATTGTATTACCTCATTGTAGGTGTGATACAGTATCAAGCCACTATCTGTTTGATTGCATGTTTGTTAACCTTGTGGCACAATAAAGTTATCTACCAGTATGTAATCCTCAAGATCAAATATTAAGATCACAGGACAAGAGTTTTGAAAAAAGGTACTTTAGAGCGTGTCTTTCATCTGATCTTTTTAAAATATCACATAAAAGTTTCACATTGTTATAAAACAAATTCATCATAGATAACATGATTAAAACTTGGTACGTCAGACACGCGTTTTGTCTATAACAGACTCATCAGTGAGGCTCGAATAAAAAAGTGAAAACGGCCAAATAAAGTACGTAGTTGAAGAGCATCGAGGACCAAAAAATTTCAAATGTTTTGCCAAATAAAGCTAAGATAATCTACCCGGTATTCCTGGGGTAGAAAATCATTAGTATTTCGAAAAAAAATCAATTTATGTAAACAGTAAGTCTATAACTTTGACCATATCAATTTACCTATTGTTTATGTCAATGTCTTAGATCATTATGAAAATCAGCCATCCAAATATGTTTGACTGAGAAGGGATGCTGCTCTATGTAATCGTCCTTTTGCTTCAATATAGAAAGGATGTAGAACGTAATAGTTTCGTCCAAATATCAAATTATTCCAAGTTTCTGTAGGCGCAATAAAAGTTAAAGCAACATTCGTCAACTTCAGTATGAGTTTACCTTTTAAGGAAAACATGAAACTTTTGAACTTCACCTGGCCTGATAAGCCATATGGGCTATTGCCATTACTCGATGTCATCATCAGTAAACGTATCACATTCTAAACTTCTTTTCTAAGACATTGGAACAATTTTAATCAAACTTGGCAGGACTGATGTATGAAAAGTACTCTACAAATATTTTAAGTTTTGGAAGAAAAACTACATTGCCCATTTACAAAGACATTCGTTCCAATTGGACAAAAAGCATTACCTCCAAAAAAAACGTAATTCTTTGATTCTGATTGGGAAATTTTCAAAAATGTTCTCTGAATTTACAAGGCAAAATGTTTTGAAAATTTATTTTGATGATTAGGAGACCCTCCACAATTTTTCCTCGCTTAGTTATATATAGTACATAAAAGGCATAACACTAATCTTCAAAAAATACAACAAAGTACAACTGACCCTAACGTCAGCCACTGACTCCGGAAAAAACGGACATATAAGCAAATACGAACAACACATGGTTCAGATAGCCTAATTTTGTACAGGCACAGAATGTGATTCCCACAGATTTTGTGTGTTACCTTGATTTGTCTCATTTTAATTGATCTACGAGATTTTGAACATCGGTAAACTACTGTCGATTTAATTTATTGTAATAAACACGTTGCCATAATAAATTTTCAATAAAACACAGAATCTAACGCAAACCCATGAATTACAAGAATTACTCAGTTCTGTAACAATAGGACACAGAGAGAACAAAATCCCTGCAGGTAAAGGCAGAGCGGAGGTAACAGGAAATTAATGAGTTCGCATTTTCTCCAGAAGCCTGCTGACAATACTTATTCTAAAAAAGTATTGTTTAATAACGCACAGGATGAAGCAATAGATCTGACATCATAAGCTTTAATGTTAAAACAGCTTAAAAGTTCTTCATTAGTGGAGCCATAAGCTAGAGGAATAGCTTTGCAGATCCAAAAGAAACAGTTCTAAAAGACAAATAAGATATAAAAATAAGGAGATGTGGTATGGTTGCAAATGAGACAACTATCTACCAAAGTCCAAATGAAGTGGATTTAAGCAATTATAGCCAACCGTACGACCTTCAACAATGAGAAAAACCCATACCGTATAGTCGGCTATAAAAGGCCCCGACATGAAAAATATGAAACAATTCAATTGAGAAAAATAACGTAATTTATAACAGAACAATTTACGAAAAACAAATATGACATATATGAACCAATGACAACCACTGAACTACAGACTCCTGACTTGGGACAGGCACATAAAGAATGTGGCGGGGTTAAACATGTTTGTGAGCGCTCAACCCTCCCCTAACCTGGTACAGTGGTGCAACAGCACAACATAAGAACAAACTATAAAAATCAGTTGAATAAGGCTTAACTCATCAGATCGATACAAAGAAAAACATCAGACAAAAATACTTACAGGACTTGGCAGGTTATATATCCATTCTTCATCCCTAACAACAAAAAAGACACTAAGTATAGATCTGAGAGTACTCGCAGTTGCTGACAGCTAGTTCAAAGCCAATAACAACTAATAAAAAAAAATCATGTATCTAAGACTAAAATATTAATCAGTATACATCCAACATTCAATGGATTTAGTGTAAAGACGTCATTAACAGTCAGAGAAAAACATAACCTTATGCAATGCCAAAATATAGATATCGACAGATTGTAGTACCGTGAAAGTACATATGTGTTATATTGAGTATGGTTTTAATTTACTGATAACAAAATCAATATTTATACCAATAAACACAATATTCAAAGATTGAATTACTGTGTTGAATTGGTAACTTTTTAGAATAAGTTTATTTAAAGGACTGATAAGTTTACCCGGATCGTATCTAAATTTCCGGGCTCGGTTAACAATATCACCGTAAAATTTAGGATGGCTATTCCGTTTGAATTAAGATTTTTGCAGGTACAGCCAAATTTGCAAACCAAATCTGTATCTATGGAAGAAATTAACCTTTCAGTAATTTGTGGTAACGAAATCCCTGGCTTAATCATTTACAAGTAATACATATATTACGTTCATTGAAATCCAAAACGGCACTACAGACACGAGTTGGGATGTATAGATTTGATTTATTTAAAATAAGTTCCTTTGGGTAAATTTCAGCAGTATATTTGGAGAATTCTGGATTATTTAACGAAAAAATATCATCAACAGTAAGTGTTGTTGAAATTATCAATTAAATTGAATTTAGACCCTTTTTTGATAGGTTTAAAAAGTCTAGAATTTGAACTAGTAATAGTATGTAGACTACTAGCTAGTACTCTGGCAAGCAAGATAACGAGACAGAAACCGAACTGATCATAGGAGTTTTGAATTTGAATTTTAAAGACGTGCAAAGATAATCACAATTTCAGCTCCCCAGTCAGGGATCATACACTATTCTCATCTAAGTTGTCGATTTCTGTGGAGTTACAACTGCATGATGTGGAATAAAATGTTTCAACTCTCTTTTCGTCTACCAATTCAATTATACCTTTCTTTAACTGATCTTTGGATAACTGAATTATATTGAGTCATCAACTCTGGTTTATTTCGCATTTGCGCAACACACGACTCCAATCGACCCATGGCAAGTTCTCTATTCACTGGTAGTTCATAATTTTCTTCTTTCCATGGCCATTTAACAAAATACCTCCTATTTTCATATTGTAAGGTTTCTTTGAACGATTCCATGGCCTTTGAATCACGAACACTTTCAATTTGTTCAGTAATTCCTATTGAATCTAAATTCCAAAGGTCTGTAATGTCTGGTATGACAGAAACCGAAGAATCAGTTGTTTTGTGGTTTGTCACCGTCATAACACCTGAATTTGAAAGGATCAGCAATCCAGTTTCAGTTTTTTCATCATCCATTTTCTGTGATCTTCCTATCTTCAATATCCATCCTAATTTTGAAGCCAACAAGTATAATCCAGGTTGTATTTCTATTCACTGAGACAATATCAAATCCAATTATTAATCATTGCCAATTAACAATTCTACTGCAGAAGACTCACTTCGTAATGGAATATCGTCGGCTAGTTCCACATATTTTACGAAATGTTTTAAATGTTCCACATATGAAATATCAATTCTTTTCCTTTGTACACGCCCACTAATGACGGGCACAATATTGGCGACAATAC